CCAATTAAGTGCTTAAATAGATAACAGCATTAAATGCATATAATTTTTTTTTTTTATTTCTTATTGGCTTGTGTCATCCATTTGTATCAAAACAGTTACTTACAGTGGATTTTAGTAGTGAAGGGCAACGAACCAACAGTAATGTGATTTGTTATTGTTCTGTGCTCTTTGTTAATGAAACAGATTATAAAACTCCACTGTTTCAATCTTCTCAACATCTTAGCGATGAGGAATTCTGTGACTGTGCTATGGATACCGGAACATGAGGGGCACGAAGGTAATGAAAGGGCGAATGTTCTGAGCAAAAAGACAGCAAAACTCCTTTCGTAGACCCGCAACTCTTCTGCGGTATTAACAACAGCGTCAAAACCAGCCTAGTACGCGAAGGGAAAAAACAAAACCAAACTAACTTGTGAAGAGCCCAAAAAGTCATCCAGCAGTCAAAAAGGCTTATTGTCCCTGAATATATAAACTGTATACTGAACTTTAACAGACCACTGTAGATTACGATACCACCTGAAAAATATTTTCTGCTAGAGAACAATTCTCACCGACTCTGTCAAGAGCAATAGGAAACAGCTTAACACACTCTATGTGTCTGCTAAGCCGTGGTAAGACGCAAACGCAGACTTTTTAGGCAGTGAAATTTTGAAGCATAAATACCTAGTTAAAATATGGCCCACAGTTGTCACGAAATTCTTTAAAAATTTAGACTTGAACTAGTTAGATGAAAGGCTGCACAGATCGCAGTGCATGCACAACCTATCCATAATAATGATAATAAAACTCCATCTTGCATAGAATCATTGGATTTAAGTATTTTTTTTGGTGTGCCAATATGTGTCTTTTTTTTTTTGGTTTTGCAGTGTATCAATATTTTCTTCACTTGATACATATCTTAAACATATTTTATTTTTGATATGTAATCTGATTTTCTTATATCTCATCCGACTCCTTATTTTAAGAAGGCGTGACCTCATTAACGCTATTATATGTCAAGGCAATAAAACGGAAAGAGCTTTTCAAACGCTGCGAAAATACCACAACAACAATGTTAATTCAATCTATAACCACGTCCAAGCTATACCAAGTAATGGGGTCTAACTCAGCATATTAAAGATATTCAATGGAAAAGATGGTTTAAAAAAATATTTACCACAGTCATTGCAGCGGTAAAAATAAAATGAAAGCTTTTCAAACACTGCGAAAATATCAGAACGTTTATTACCACTACAACACTGTTAATTTAATCGAAAGTCAAGTCACCACAAAAGTAATGGGGTCTAGTTAAGTATATTAGAGATCTTCAATAAAAAATATGGTTAAAAAATATTTATAACAGTTATTGCCGAATTCGAAATAAAGAATTGAAATTCAACTATAAGAGCCAGACGTAGTCGTTACAATTTGTAATGCAAACCAGAAACCAAGATAATGGAAAAAGCAAAGGATCGCCACAGTCTTTCAAACTAGAGACGATCAGGCGCGAATAAATTAAATTCTCATTACTTAAGGTCGTTTTTGTCAACGGTATAAATTCGTTTAATGTATTTACTGGGGTTTGAATGTTGAGGACAGCAGATAATCAATTTAATTATTTATTCATTGAAATTTTTATTTTTTATGAAATTTATAAAATAATTTAGATTAATTAATTTATATACTTGTGATATATGCGTTTGTTCCAAAAGTGAGATAACATTATTATTACCCAAAATAATTTAGAACAATTAATTTATGTAGCTGTGATATATGCGTTTGTACTAAAAATGGGACAACAATGCAATTATTGTTTACGAATAAACAACAAAAATGTTCAAAACTCTAACATTGGATAACACAAAGTAATGGTTGGTTGTTAATTAGTCAGTCTACGGTTCAAATTTGGCAGAATTGAATAACTCACCCTTGTTTCCAGATTATTATAAAGAACGCCGATGATGTACATTTTGGAGTATTCGACACAGCTATTTGGTCAACACAAGAATTCACTTGATTAAATATTGAAGGTTTTTATATATGATGATTTCCTTAAGTTTAATCATACAATATTTAAAATAACAACCTTGTGCCTCAACTGCGTTTGACATATCAATAATAAATTATTGTATAATACAACAATAGAAGTAAGAGATAAGGAAGTGCAAATCAACGATAAAAGTGTAACCATACACATATGTTTTTTTTATATCAAACGCTTTGTATCTCCACTAAAGAAAATAATCTCTTGTCAACAAATTTATAAACAGACCAAATGAAAAAATAATTAAAAAAAAAATAATTAAAAAAAAAATAATTTAAAAAAAAATAATTAAAAGAAAAATAATTAAAAAAACAATATTAACAAAAATAAACATTAAAAAACAGCAAGTTTTACTTACTTTACTTTTTAATTATACTATTTTTTCTTGCCATTTTCTTGTTTTTATTTAAAATAAAAAAAGCAAAAAAAAAAATCTGATCACTTTACCAATCATCGAGTTACGGCACTGCTTGTAGAGGAAATCAGACCTGAAACTGTTTTGAGTTTGCAGAAACTATAAACATATTTAAAAAAAAAATCCATTGAATATGTAATGCGAGACTACCGAGAACATAATGACAGTCACCCATTTAAAACCATATAGCGTAGTCAACATTATTAAATAATTAAATTTTTTATTTATTTTTAACACTCGATTTGCTCGGTAAGTGTCTTTGAACTTGAAACTATATGACTTGTTGATTATATGTTTTAGAAGTAAAGGATAGGATTAACTAATATTTGGTTCCAACATCGAAAGTATCAACGATTTCTTATCGACTTAGTTTGATGGATTAGTTCCAACTGCATACAGAATTTCTCAAAACAACTTAACACAGAAACTAGTTTGTATCTGCATTTGTTTTTAATAGCATTTCTAAATAATCTGTCAACGAACGACTTCTGGTTATTAATCATTATATCAAAAACAATATAGGTAAACTATTCAACTCGAAAAACAAATTTCAGCAAAAATTACATCTTAGTAGGAGAGGAAGGCAAATAACGTGTGCTACCACTAACTGCAATGTAACATGGAGGATAAGTTTCTTACAAGTAAGTTTAGACACATCAACCATAAACCATAAACTTCACTTTAATCATAAATTTTAAAATCGATTATGATTTTCATAGCTGACATAGCCTAGGAAAGACATAGCCCAGTCTTTCCAATTGTTAACCTCACCTACTCGTGGTGCATTCTGTTTTTGTAGACGAGGCTCTGGTGATTAAGTATAGGCGGTATAATCTGAGCACCTGTTGGTGAGTAAACACTTCAATTCTTGAGCACTAACACTAAGGCAGGTTTAGAAGCTCAGCTGGCAATTGTAACACCAAACTTGGGTGCAGTGGACCAATCACCAGCTCAGCTGAAACAAGTGTAGACCTTTACTCCTCATAGGATCTACTGAAACTAATACAGCCTTAGTAACATATATTGTAATATTAATGTAACTAAAAAAGCTTTTAGAAAATAAGTTTCTTAAATGTCAAATATATGATCTAAATTCTTAAACTAAGCAACATGTTTAATCACTGTATTAATCAAGAGATAATATGGAAAGCTGCAGTTTAAGCTTTTGTTAATATGAAAGGATAAATAAATATTCATGACTAACGATATATATTATGGATTATCTATCCGCTTCTTTTTCGGCGATTTTTTTTTATTTTTGTCTAACAATATAATTTACTCATTTTTGTTATTTGAAAATTATATATATATATATATTGTCTCTTTTCCTTTCTATAGCGACTTTTGCTCCTTTTTTATTATTTAAATATTTATACAATTATATTAGATATATATGTATAATAATCAAAATATATTAGAGAGAATTTGCAAGGACAACATGGAGGTGGCCAGTACTCACCGAAACATCCAAATCGTTTAACGAACTTAGACACATGGCAAGGAATAGAGACAACTGGAAACTTTTTGTAGAAAGACTAAGGTTTTAGATATACAATCAATTTTTAATTGTTTGAACTTTTGGAACATATTATAAATAAAATAAAATAATAATTCATTTTATTATTTAAATATTTAGAATTTTTATATCGATAATATAAAAATTATTGTAAAATAGATATTGATTTTTTTTTCTTAATTTTTATTTTTTAACAACAATAAAAATATTTTACGAATTAGGTTGAAAAAATATTTTTATTAAAATAGTTTGTTCACAAAATATAATAATATTTATATATAAAAGTTGAAAAATTGCTTTATAACATTTCTTTGAAATTTTTAATAAATTGCCACTAGGTAGTTATCTTTTAGTACAAATTTAATATAGTACAAATTTAAATATTTTGCTTAAATGTGTTAGTTTCGCGCCCTCATAAGTAATATTTGTGGAGATCACAGAATTGGATACTTCGGGGGGGAAACAAATTAAAATATATTAGATTTAGATTATACAGACAAAGGTTTTGATAAAGAAAAATAAATTTATTTAGCATGGGAATAAGTGTATTCATTCAAAAATCGAAAAACCCTAGTAGCCTTTATTAATAAACTGAAAATAGGCCAATTATATCATCGATAATTGTATAAAATTATTATTATACAATTAACAATATGCATATACATATTTTACATATCTATAAGTTTTGCCAAATCAAATGTTCTATACAATAAATAAATTTATAGAAAATATATAGAGAGCGCCGCAACCAAGAAGCATAAAGTTCTCAAAAATAGCTAAATAGGCTAAAAATAAAAATTATTTTAAGAAATGAAACCATGAAAAAATTAAAGATAATTTTTTTTTTTTTTTTTTTTTTTTTTTGTCTTCTTCATTTTTGTGTTTATACTGGAAGTGTAAATCAATACAAATTTCCCCTCAAGTTGAAAAATTGTAAAATAGAACTACTAAAACTAACAATGCCTTATATATGTGCAATATTATTATTATGAAACTGACACTAATTCGAGAAATGTTCAAGAAATTATATATAACACTATATTTACCTTATTTGAATACGATGGATGGCGCTTTGATAATTGAAACAATAAAAAAAATTTGGTAAATAAATTTCCAAAATGTGGTGAGTTGTTGTGCGTTCCAAATCTGTGCGGATCAATTTGTTAATATTGGCACCTCTTGATTTTTTTTGTTTTTTTTTTTTTGCCGATATGCAAGGTTCCGAGGGAGTTGATAAAACGTGCCTCTGATGATAAAATTTGAAATTAATTAAATACATACATTTATAATTATAAATGCATAAAAAATTTTAGTTAAATTAAACTGCTTCTGCTTTTTTAAACAAATGATTTTTATTCTTTTATTTTTATTTTTTTTTTTTTGTGTAATTAAAGCTTTAAGGCAGAAGTAAATGATAATAACTAAATTTACAAACACACGACACACACAAAAATATTCATTCAAATTCAACACTGTTATTGCTATTGCTGTTGTTTTTGTTTTTGTTGTTTTTGCTTTTACTTTTGTTGTTGTTTTTATTGTTATTTTCAATTCTGAAGAACAGTGAAATGGAAACTTACACAATCACAAATTAACAAAATGAGTATTTAGTTATGATTTTGTTAGGTTATTTATATTAATAATTATATGTATATAGTGCTTATGCATTTTTCAGCTTTCGATTTACATATTTTATAACCCCATATGGTAAAAATGATGACTCGTTCAAGCAAAACTCAAAATCAACTTTATTTGACACTGATCTTTCAATATTCGAAGGTAAAATATTATATTATTTCTTTCAAAAAAAAAAAAAATATATATATATATATATGTACGCAAAACCACTTGAACAAAAAAAAAAGCATTTAAAGAAAACATGCTTAAATATTTTATAAATATATTTATCCATATATATATTTATATATACCTATATAATATATAAATATATATATATATATGAATGTATATATATTTATAAAATAAAATAAAAACGTAAAGAATTAAAAAAGAGCCAACAGCAAATGTAGTAGGAACAGAAAATGTTCAGTACGTAAATTAAAAACTTCACAATCTTTTCATAACAAAAAAACAAAATAGATAATTATTTGCATTAAATCAAATTTGTATAATATTTTTAAAATAAAATTCCATGAATATTTATTATTCATATTTTAATAGAAATATATTGACGGTTTCTTTAAAGAAACGGCAAAGAACATTTTTCGACCAACAATTACGCACCGAACACTCGCCCACCGCCGTCGTCGTCGTATTACAACCGCAACTGATTTCAAACTAAACAAAAATATTCTCTGCTTGCTCTTTGATCAACAAAGTATGAAATCTCTCTCGCTTTTTTGGTTGTCATCGACATTATTCATTGCTGCTGTCAAACACTTTATTCACAACTGCTCACTCACATCCATACTTGCCGAAAGCTCAACGAAACACTAAACAAGTTTTATTTATATTTGGTGTTGTCGACCCAAGAAACCAAAACATCTAACACTTTTCTATATGTATAGTTACCACTTTTGGTTTTTTTTTTTTTTGTTTTTTTTTTGGCATTTTCCCATGGTCATATATAGTAAAGATCACTCAACAAAAAAACATATCCCAACATACCCAACATACTTTATCAAAGTTGTTGACTGTCACCTCTGACAGTCTACAGATTCTTGGTAGTATTATTTTTTATATATCCACATATGTACATATATATACAAATATATATGTTCACATTTGTTTATATAAAATATCCCAACCACTTCAAAAAATTAATTGTTTATTAACAAATTTTCTCATATACAATCAAATCAAAGCTTCCCTTAAGCAAAATTAATAGATCTAATTTTTTTTCTTTCATATACTCAGTGTACTGTATTAAAGTGACCTAATAACATATAAGACACAGTCCGTCTATCAGTGCTAAATTAAACGATAAGCAGACGACCGTCAAAGAAAAGAACATTTAAGAAAAAACTTTCAGTTTGAAAGACCCTTGATAACACAAAACTGATTTAACTCAATATCTTATGTCTTATACCCATTTTAAGTTTATAAAATATTATTAGACCATTAAATTCCTCTAATTGCGGAGTTTTTTCTTGTTTGGAAAAACTACTGGAAATACGTTTTAAAGTAAATAAGCAATACATATATTCAAGAAAAAAATTTGTAAATAAAGATCATTCAATTCTTCGCAAAATACTATTACTGATACAAATATATATATGTACATAAATGTTATTATATAATTATAAAATATATAATATACTATATAATAAATATGTAATATCATATATATGTATAATATACACATATATATATATAAATATAACATATATAATATTATATATATATATAAAATATTTTTTTTAATATATATTAAAAATTTGAAAAAAAGTAGTAAGTATTTGTTATTAACAATTTGAGTGTTAAATAAACGACCTTAAGCCTTAAGCCCGGTTAAATCAAATTTTAATTATTATTTACACCAGGGCTGTTCAAAGTACAGCTTCGAGCCTCATGCGGCCCGCGGTTAATATTTGTGTTTCTAATCTTAATAACATCACATTATTTTATTTTTATTGTATCATAAATAAATAAATTAAAATGTTTTAAATATTTTATTTCACTTGACGTTAATTTACTTAGACCGTGTGAGAGTTCGACTAAATGGATGGAAAATTGATGGAAATAGTAAATAATGACGGTATGACAGCGAATGTTGGTATTTACCAGAATTTCGAGTAGGGTAAATTAGATAAAAATTAAAATTTTATAAGATGTTTAATAAATAAATAAATTTGAAAACTTTTAACCAAAAATAATAAATCAGTACAATAAATAAATAGTTACATAAATGCAATTCCCTAGGAAATTTCAATTTCATTTACCTCAATTTACTCGAACTCACACACGGCCTTAATTGACAAAGACTTTATTATATATATCTTTGTACAACTGGTTCAAAAAACTTATGTCCAGTGCCATAAATTATTACATTAAAAATAATAATATTTTTCGAATGGGAACTATTATTAATATTGTCGACATTGATAAAATTTTAAAAGATAAATTAATGAAGAACTAAAATAAAACTAAATTTATCATTATCGATGTATTTTTATTTTTCACCGGAAAAATTATGAACATATGTATTTATTTCTGCGGTCCACCAACCTATTCTTATCTAATCTGTATAGTCCTGATTGACACTATAACAACAGTTTCTGTGGAGGTTTCCTTAAAACATTATCGGAAACTAAAGATTTAAATTCTAATCTATTATTATATAAATTAAAATTATTCAAATACGAATACAATTTTGAAATACAAGGATTTATGTATAGAAAGGTTTTCTTTAAATTAATTTTAATTAAAAAATTTTTTTCCTACTTCTGGTTCCAAAGAATTATGTATATCTCACATGTATGTCACCTAAATTTGAGACATTAAGGTATTTGTTTCTTTTTATTGTATTATTTATTAGTTATATTAACGAATTATTTTACGAATTAAATATATAAACAATACATTTCTGAATTTAATCCCGCCTTATTTTCATTTATTATTTATTTTTTTCTTTTCGAAGAAACATCTTTCCAGTCAACCAAAATATATATGCTTAGAAAAAAGAATTTCAAGGAATGTAAAGAATATTTCTCATTTTATATTTCGTTCTATAAAAAGTTTATTGGACGCACATATGTCTGCAGATTTATGAAGCATTGCTTTTCAATAGATCAAATCAGTGCATATAAAGTTTGCAATTGATACAATTTATTGCATTCCTCCAAATATTTTGGAGTATATAATATCAGATTCATATTTATGTACATATCTTTACGGATTATATTTATTTTTAGCTTTAAAAAAACTCTGATGTGAAATACCTTTAAAACGAAACCAATGAATTCGATTTGACATTAATTCGAAATAATATTTAATTATATTTAATTTCGGACTGATGATTATGAATATATATTTTCGGATAATATTTATTTGGACCCTAAAAAGAGCTTATATATGAAGTATCTTCAAAACGGAATCAAATTATTTAAACCAAGATTAATTACAAATTAACTAAAAATGATTCAGAATTCATTAGATTTACCATCTTTTCAGATTCATATTTACTATATATATAAACTCTAAAAAGAGCTCATATATAAAGTACATGTAACTACATTAAAAGTTTTACAAAATAAAGGGGGTTATACATTACTTACAATTTTTAGTAAATGATATTCAAATTGGAGTTCCAAATAGAATGTAGAATAATGAACATTATTTTGAATAAAAGTTCAATATAATATGTTATTGTTGTAATCTAAATGGACTTAGAAAGTATGTTCATAAAGATATAGTAGAGTATTGTGTAGGAAAGGATAGAATAGGCATTGATAGGATACAAGAATACAGAAAGATTTGATTGAAAATATTGATTGTCATCCAGTGTCCAACTGCTATCAGAGGCTATCCTTTCCACCTCGATGGGGTGAGGTCAAAAATCAATACGGCTTAAATTGGTATATCTCCTCAACACACCATTTTGATATTGTTAACATAAAGGGAACTATTCTTTTATGATTAAACTTAAAAAATCTAACCCTATCCCCTTCAATATCACCCATTCTCCATAATTCACACCCATGCTATCTGGCTTAGATATACCTGGTCCCCTAGGTTTTAAGTCTATCTGCTCTTATCTCTTTCCCCTAATTACTGAAATGAAGTTTCACACTGCCGTGGACATCTTCTCTATTCATTGCTAAAAGGTGGTTTTAGTGAGTTCAAGTGTCAAAATGTGACTATGGATGCTTTCCACCTACTGCAAAAAAAAAATTTCAAACTTAAATTAAATTTATCTAAATAAAGTAAAGTTAATGTGTGAGATGTGACCTCAGCTTTAACTTTAAATTGACTTTACCTAAATAAAATTAGGTTGATGTGACAGATAACCTCATTTCAACACTACGGCTCAAACTGTGACACCATTACTTATCACGCGATTTTTACTTTTTAAAATAACTTTACCTGAATATGACAACTGGCATCGGTGACGAACTGATTTCAAAATTGTGGGTGAACTGTAATACCATTGCTAAACACAAGACCTCAACAGTTTTACGGATGAAGCTATTTTGACAACTCTTACAAAGCGATAATGTTTGTACTCTTAAGGCTGAACGCCTTTGTGAGGGAGTTAAAGATATGTTTGTCTAAGAAGTTCACTGTGGATCTCTCTAGAGCTGACCAAACGCAAAACAATGCCACTATTTTTTTTTTTGTCATCAACTCTAGAACTATTTAAATATTCACAGCAGTAAACTTCCAGCCTAAGAGCGTGACTATCAAATACTGATCGGTTAAACAAGCCATGACCTTAGAGATGTCATCTGTTAATAGTAATATGAGTAAGTTATATACTATAATACTATAAAACTTAGATCGTTTAAAATTTACTCTTAATATAGTTATAGAAAAGCATGTTCATTTCAATAATACAAAGGAACTTGTCTTAATTCTAAAACATTCAATTTTACAAAAGGCGATTAAATTCACTAATGCAATTTTAAAAATGACTGAAATATCCATTGAATTATTGGCTTGGTAAGAGAAATTTCTATATAAAAGTGGACTATATGCCACTTCTATTTAGGAAGTAAAGCACCTGAAAAAGTCACCTTAAGGAGCCTTTTTTACTAAGCATTAAGTATGCTGTTAGGAGTGCTTCTTAATGCTCCTGCACGGTTGAACAGAATTGTTTGGGGATTTGAGAAAAACAGGATAATTTACATTCATTTTTGTATATGTTTTATTAAATAATCTTATAAATTTATTAAAGAATAATTATATTTTAATTATTTTTCCTATTTTTTTATAGTTTTTAACATAAATAATAAATTATGATTACATGTTATATGAAATACAAAACATTTACAAACTCGCGCATACGTAAGACTCAAAAACGTATGCTTAATCTGTGTAATAATATATGAGTACGATTGGTGCAACTTTAAGCTTCAGAAAGACTTCTAAAAGGGACTACTTGAGGAGCACTTTATTAAGTGCGCTCCAAATTAAGAATAATTTTATTGCTTGTCAAGCAAATACTTAATTGTTACAAATAAATTTTTGTCATAAATTTGGAAATATCTTAATGGGATAACGAGCAAATGGTGCATTTTCCATTTGTCAAACTCGATCAATGATTGGTGTATCTGCAGTATTTATTTAAAAATGTTTATATTGTCAAACTTTACTGGAATGGGCAATAAAAAATCAATCAAGATCTATCGGTAAAAATAAGAACTTATTTTAGGGGTAAATCTAGAGTAAAACGAATTCAGAGTACCGATGCAACCCTCGCTACTTGCAGTCTCAAAAAAAATTATTAACGTATATTTAAATATAAGAAATAATTTAAAAGACGACTGATTATAGGTATTTGGCAATGTTGCAATTCACTAATGTTCGCAACACCTCCAAATATCTTAATCATGACAACATTTTGAAATCATTGTCAAATGATTTGCCACTGATTAATGATAGATGTTATATAATTATATATAATAAATAGTTAGTTTTCAATTTCTTGACCTTCGTGCTTTACCCTTCACAATAAAATTAATGATTATGAAAAGAAATATGTTGCGGTAATAATGTATAACACATACAGATTACAATCAAGTGTTTGATCATATTATACAATTAATAAATTTAATGATTTAACCTATTATACCTATAATATATATCATTATCTATGTGGACTTATTGCTAATTACATTATTTTTATTACTAAAAATATTCATAACAAACATTATAACACAAATCATACAGATTCATAGCGGGACTTCATCATTTTTTTAATATAAGTTTTATAATCGTCACCAGGTCCAATGCCTGGTTTAGTACCCAATCCAGCGGTCGTTGACCTGGCTTCAGCCTATTTTTAATATAAATATATTTATATAAAACATTTTTAAAATTTACTTTAATGCATTTTACGTACTTCGATAATATTGGTACGCCCTTGATTCTTTCTTCCTAATCCTTGACCCTCGGACCACCCCATTTTTTGTAAAAGCCGATTTCCTACGTTATTTGAACTTATAGGCATTGATGGTGTTGCGTCCATCTGACGAGATGTTAAGTTCTTTATCTCCGTTTCGAAACGTTCACGAGTTCGATTTGGCGGTGGTGGATCACTTTCCCCATATTTAAGGCGACGTTCTTTAGCTCGATCACGATATCTAAAATAAGTAACAATAATTACAATACTAAAAATCAAGATATATATATGCATGCATTGTGATGTGTCAATATTTGTATGTGTTATTTATAAAACATAATGTGCGAAATTTTTAAAAATTTTACTAAACCAAGCTGCAAGGGAGAGACGTCATTCTTCCTGAAAAATGTTAAGCGTCGACCAGTTGAGAACATTGTTGTGGGTCAACCTTGGTCTCTACGAGAATACTGTATCTGTGTGAAAGGCTGTAAGTCTGAGTTTATATTTGACCTCACTGATGTTAGCTCCATTGCAAAAGGTGTCAATATATCTGTGATAAGAAAAGAAGGATCAACGGATGCGTCTTGGATGGAGGGCTTTACTAAGCTTTACTAGCATTGTGGGAAGTCCATCTGTATAACGCACAAGGAAATACTGCTGGGACAGCAGTTGGTTGTGCTCTTTTACCACAAGCATGGCAGCCGATCGCAATAAGCAATGCCATATTTTGACATGAATAAATATTCAGCCATTGCGTCACGCAGAGTTGTGAGGTCCATACTGGAACAACATAGGCCGTAATAGGACTTCCCATTGATTTTTATATATTCAGTAGGGTTTTATTGTCTTTACCCCATGAGCAACCTGCAAGCGCTTTTAACACGTTATTGCGCCCAGCAAAATTGCTGGGCACAATGCTAGGACCGGGAAAGGTGATCCTATTAAATGTTATCACCTTTTTATTAAATTGTGAAGGGTTAGATAATGCTTTAGTGGCCGTCCACAATTTATCATTTTTGGATCGCAATTACCTAAATGTTTCTTCCATTTATTAAGGCGAATGTTTCTGTTCAGGATAGCTATACTTAATTGGCTGAGTCAAATCTGCAAAGGTTGTCGCGTTCTTTGGCAAGAAGCATATTGTCACTAGAAAAATTTGGCCTTACAACCACAGAAACAGCTGTGGCAGCGGATTTAAAAACAATGCTCACACAGCTACTCTTCGAATTCGACGACCAAGTGCCGTCCAGCACATACAAAAGGGACTACACAAGTAGATTATTGCAACAACAACAACACTGCAAAACATACAACTTTGCTGGAAATTTTTTTTTTTTCGTTTATGGCATAATATCATTTACACAAACAATAAAAGGATAATATATACTTACGATAATCCAGCAGACGTCGCATCACCTTCCGCTTGGCTTTGAGATAAATTATACTTCTGCAAATTCTCTTTATGTAAGTTTGACATTTTCAAATGCTTTTGCAAAATATCCAATGATTGGAAAGCCCGTTTGCAAAGCAAACAGGTAAGTTTTTGAAAATCAACATAATCACTTTCACTAGATACTCCAGGTTTCTGTAATTTGCCAATAACATTCGAAGTGGACATTACGGAATGATCTTCATCTGAATCTGAACCGCCATATGCAGATAAAAGCTTATTATTGATATTTATTGTAGACACAAACTCTGTTAGCTTTGAACGATCTTTCTTTTCTAAAATTGAGAAGCCCACATCCGCATATGCACTACTGCTAGAGGCGATTGGTTGTGAGCGTGCTTGTTGATCTTCAGTTTTTGCTGGTAAAATTGGCTGTGGTGTTGCCACGACTGTGTAGTCTTTCTTTTGATTTAGTTGCTTTGCCCATTTCTCCATATCCTTCACAATTTTCTTAGCAACTTTTACTTTGTCATGCTTGACATCCTTTTTGTCTTTTTTCGATTCATCCTCTACTGCAGAGTTGGTAGTCTTATTATTCTCCTCCTGTTTAATGACTTCTTCAATAGTAGCTGCGGCAGCTGCCGGTGTTGCTAATACATATGTACTTTTACGTTGATCCCAATATAAATAAGCACCAGTAGTGTTATTATAATAATACTGAGAATGTGCGTCATAGTATAAGCCAGTAGTTGGATCGTAATAGTAACCAGAAGTTTCATCATATTGATACAATGTTACATCGGGCGTGGCTAAATCATTGTGATAAAAAATTAAAAATAATTTTAATAAAACGTAGAAATTTGTTTAAGAAACATTCATAACAAACTAAAAAAATTTTCCATACGACAATATTCTACAAATAATTCATGTGCCGGCCGTCTAAAAAAATTTTTTATCAAATTTCTGCTTAAACAGAAAAAAAATCTTTTTGATTTCTATTATTTAAGTCAATCTATCTAATTAATTCTAATTAGTTGCATTAATTTGATTTGCAAAACATTTTATGAGGTTGACCTATCGAAAATTTATCAAGGAAATACATTTCTAAATGATTGATTTGGTATTATGGTAGTTATTCAACATGGAAGTTTCAAGTATTGTTTCAAGTATTGCTAATCACCCATCATTAGTCATCTTGGAATTATTTCTTATATTTTTATTATTCGCAAAAAAATTTTTGAGGCTCAGAGTACCACCGATTGAACTCATACCCTGCCAAATTTGAAGCACAGAGTCAGTGTTCATCAGCCAACTGACCCAATGTCGAACAAATAATAAGATTTTGTTCTTGTTATTCACTACTGTTCAAGATGTTCTCTATTAAAATAATATCTTATTTAAGAAAATAGTTCTTTTACCATAATTGACCTATTAAATATTTGTACTTACGATATACTTTGCCATCATTTCCCTTGGGCGTATCAATTTTTGAAGCGATAGTTGCTTTTACTGCTGCCGCTGCGGCTGCTGCAGCAGCTGCTGCTTGTGTTGCTGTTGTCTCAATGTTGTTCATTTTTTTCTGTTTATTTTGTATTGCAGACAGGGCCACAGCAGCTCCGGAATTCGCTGACGCCTCACTTATTTGCGAGACGGTTGGCAAATTACTAAAGCTACCCTTATTTATTTCGCTTATATAATATTCTGTATAGTATTGCAAGTAATGAGCTTGTTCCGCTGGTGTGGATGCATACAAGGCAGCACTGTACTCAGCAAGACGCGGAACATCTGCTAGAGTATAATGAGTAATGGCACTGGATCCAGAAGCGCCCATTGAGTCTACAGATGTGGCTGTACCTGACAAAGCTTCGCACCCAGATTTTTTTGGCACTATTTGACGATTCTCGTGATCAATGCAATAACTAACAATAACTAATGAAAAGAGCGCATGCAATTCTTTAATATATATATTCGACAGCATTACTCAGACTTATGAAAATACCTTCGCGATTGTCAATCTCCAGTGGCGGTTCAATTGCATTTAATGCATTATGCAAATTCATTGAATCCACGAGACTTTCAAAATTTAAGTAACAAATACCACGTGACGTCTGTGTCAAAGCATCACGACTAACCAAAATCTTGCTTATCTTCTTCGCCAGATCCGGAACATGCTGTTCCATTACAGTTAGAACACCTTCCTCGTTAGTGAGCGCATCCAAATTACGTAACATGATTTCTGCATTGAATTTCAGTGGATTTTAAATTATTTAAATTCGTATTATAAGAATTTTAAAATTTTGCAATTGATTTAAAAATGAAGGTCTTAGATTTTTGTTATTAGTTAGTGATATACTTTTCGTAAGGATGTTGCTAACTTCATCACTGCCATCGCCACCTTTCTCGCTTTCCTCTCTTGATGCGTAACACTTAAAGCAATTGTAGCGACGTTTAAAATTAAACATTCCACACTGAAATAAAAGCAAAATATTTAAATATTCTTAATATTAAAACCGGCGCAAATCCGATTATGCAGACAGGTCCACAAAATGTTTTGGTAGAAAAAGCTATTTTATGTAAATTTTTCCACAACGTTATATTCCGATATAACCCACTTCTTGCGATATCATACAATCATACAATGAAAGTTGAATGTGAAAAATAAAACTCTATATAAGCAAGTAATTAGAACTTAACCACTCTATGGTTGTCTTTTTTATGGCAATGCTGCTTCATCTACCATTAGAAAACTTCAAACTTATCACAATATTGTATTGAGACGTATGCTGCAAGCTCCATGGTATATCACAAATGAAGATATCCACAGTCTTGAGAATGAAGAGAGTGCAAAATTATTTTAAAGACAGAACGCAAGAATTGTTTAATTCCGTCGATCCTCACAGTAATTTAAATCTGCACTCTTCTAAAACAAATGCTATACATATTTCATCCGGAAGATATACTGGCTTTCAAACTATACTTCTGTAAAATAACCTAAATAATTCAATGGAACTCTTGTTGCATTAGATTAGCTATGTATTCATACACACTGTTGAGTAAAGGTGCTTTAGACAGTAACTCACAGTTCATCAAGTCGTCTACAAACTTTTTAGTTTGATTACATCAAAAAAAAAAAAAGGCTACACACACGCCATCTAACGCATTTATGTCAACGGAAACTATGAGGACACAAAGCACACCTGCTTTTTCTGAAACAGGTGGCTCACGTTAAGAAAAATGATACAAGTCCTGATTGGATCAATAAATGCCGAAAATATAATTAAGAAGATGAGAACGAACTCAAAGAAATGGTGAATAATTGAGTCATATGTGATTAAAGACCCCAAAGCGAAGAGATTAGATCTAGAAAGAAGACACAGAAACTAGGCTAATAAATAGGGTAGACACCGAGAATATGATCAAATAAGCATAGCTTGAAACACCAACGTAAAAGATATTCTCCTCAAAGTAATGCGAAAGCAGTTCTGAAGGGAATAAGTCACTTCAAGAGAGGTTATTTTAGTCTTTATACCATGTAGGGATTAGGACACACTATTTCGACGATGGTTTGTCCCATCATTAGTGGGATCTCAGCAACAAAAAAAAAAAAATTTTATAAAAAAAAAGGAAAAAGAACAAAAAGAAAGGAAAAAGAAAAAAATAAACAAATAAAAAGAATACAAAAGAAAAGAACAAAAAAAAAGTAGAAAAAAAAAGTAGAAAAAAAAAGTAGAAAAAAAAAGTAGAAAAAAAAATAGAAAAAAAAAAGGACAATTAGTTAAAAAAAGAGCGAAAACCCAACTATTAGTTTATTTTTACTATATATCCAAGGATAAACAAGAAGACGTACCATTAAATTTAATTTTAAATTTAAATTTAATTAACTTTTAAGAAACTTTTACTGAGTCCAAGATTTACAAAACTAAACTATATTGTCATATAGCAAAACAGCTGTTCAAAATAGCTGTTTCGCTATAGCAAAATAAATCTCTTATCAAATGGGTATGCAGAGAAATCGGAATCATTACCCAAATACTAATGTAAAGCTTTTCTAATAAGTTTATAGGCATTAACTGTTTAGAAAAGCTGAATCATAAATATTTCAAATATTACTTACTTTTCCACAATACCAATCAGACTTCTTAGCTCGTCTGCCTGAATGGCTGTACTGAAGCTGAGCACGCGTTTGATCTCTTAGAACCAAAGTACCCTAAACAGAAATGAAAAGAAAAAGAAAAACATATAAATGACAATTCTTTATTTAAGTTCCCATAGACTACAGAATCACCAGCTGAATTTTTGCTCTCAATCAGCACTGTATAAAATTTAATTCAGGGCATGAATGTCTTCCAATAGAATCCGGTACTGATGTCTAATTCGTTGCTTCAGCATAAAACAGCGCAACGTGTTGTGCACACATTCATTGCTTATTTTGGTGTATTGTAATTTTGGTATCATGCAATGTGCTTAATATACATAGAAAGTTAGGACTTGTTTCTATATTTGAGTGTTTTAGTTGATTAATTCGCTTAACTACTTTGGAATTCATGTCTTAAGACTTTATTTTAAATAACAAAAATCTCAATAAAAATTTTTTCTGAATAAAATTTTTGTTCTTTTATTCTTAAGGTTTATTCTTTTCTCAACATTATTTAAACATATTCTTGGCTATGGCTATCTAATCAAATTAAACAAGAACGAGAAGTCTCTAACAATTTTTGATTAGTTAGTTAATATTAAAAATCAGTAACAAAGAAAAATTGTTTTCAACACAGCTGTGTTTTACAATTCAAATAGACAACTTGTGATAATATATTGTCATGAGCTTATGATAATATTTATATTGTCATAATAAAATAATATACATAATATGTGTTGATTTTGCACAGAACCATATGAAGATTTTTTTAAGAAAACAAGTATTGCTTAAAATAATTAATAGGAACAATTGAAGTACCGATATAACACATTTGTGATATATAACACTAACTAAAAAAATCTAAATATAAGTATTTAAATTTGAACTAAAAAGAATTGTGTAGTTTATATAGGTACAGATAACCTCATCTAGCACTACCTACCTACCATTTCATATGTAGTTATTAATATTCTACGATATGGTACACTCTATATAGTATGAACGATTGAACTAATAAACTAATAAGTACCAAGATTTCACTTCTAAACTTAATATTTGAATCGATGGAATCATTTTTAATATTAATTTGAATTATAGTATTATGATATATAACAAATTTTGCCATACTCAACAAAGCTCTAGCTCAACGTATTTGCCAAAAACTTATTGTTAGTAAGGTTCAATATGATACAAAAAATTTGTTTTAGATAAATCATATATATTTATATATGTAAAACTGAATATGTATTTATGTATATGAGCAACAAGTGATGATACCTGGGTTAATTCCATCCAACGTACAGCTTCTTCAACGGTATTAAACTCGACGAATGCGAAACCCCTTGATGCACCTAAATTTTAGATAGAAGCAAACACAAAATGTTTTTGTCAAAAAATGTTGTTTCTTTTTTTAAATTTTTAGTTTTAATTAAACTTTAGTTTTAAATTTCTGCTTGTGATTGGAAAAGAATTTTTGTATACAACTGTTGAGTACATTGCCGCAGAATGCAAACCAAGAAACGACAATAATTGCTTTTAAAATATAACACTTACAACTCCAAAAAAATAACATTGATTTATGTAAACTTATAAACTATTTAAAGAAACCTACCTGTGACTCTGCGTATAAGACGAACATTTGAAGGAGCCATATTCAGGCCTATTAATGCATTCATTATCTAAGCAAAAAAAAAAAACAAAACTGATTGTTTACTTAAAAGTTAACAATTCAATTAATTATAAACATACATCGCCTTCAGTGACATGTTTCTGCAAACCCAATACAATAACAGTGCTGGAAGGAGTTTTGTTGTAATAATGACTATTCGAACTGTCGTCACTATCCTCGCTACCTAAGTCTTGTTCTGCTGAATTGTATCTTCCTCTATTATCATCATAACGATTATGTGAAGTCTCCCTATTGTAAAATATAATAAAAAAAAAATTACTATATTAATGAAAAAAAAATAATAAAAAAAACTTACTTTCTGTCGTTTCTTTCTCTTTCTCTATCTCTGTCCGTATCTCGATCATATTCACGCCCCTTTTCGCGACCACGGTTTTGCCGATTATGGCGACTATAACCCTTATCATCCTCATAGTCATCGTATATTATATCGCGATATAAATCTTTGTCGGTGCTTCTGCGATGTAAAATGCGTTCACGACTTCTGGAACGCGAACGTCTACGAAAGTTATGTTCGCGACTTCTTTCACTTATATAATAATAACAACATATGTAAAAATCTCCTTTATTTTAATTTAATTACAATTACCGAGAACGAGAACGTGATCTGCTATAGCGCCTATAATCACGGCGTGACATGCCACCAGTATTACCACCAGAAGTAGCTCCTCCATTTCGATGTCGACGATGCGGTGATTCAATACTTCGGGAACCTTTTGTATAGTTTGAAATATTATTGCATTTATATATTAACAAACATTATATAAAAATTTGATAAAATTTATTAGCTTATTAAAAAAAATGAAACAATGAAAAGATTAAAGATGGCGACATACGTCTATCCATGATTTCGTCCAGAATAAAACAAAAATTCACTTTCAATTATTCAAACTATTTTTAAAATCTTTTGAGGTATCGCACAACTAAAAGAATTAATTACACATGAAAAATTAAAAACCCTCCGCGTTCGCGAAATAACACATCCGACAAGAATGTCAAACGCGGGTAAATCGATATTTTGGCGTAAATTTGACAACTCTATGTGACATCAAGGAATTATGAAAACGATAACCGATTATCGATAGCAAAATTTTTAATTTTAAATTACTGAAATTATTCTACCTTAATTGAAATTATATTACAATTCTATTCAATATATGCGTTTGTAATTAATGCATTTATCATATATTATTAAGTTTTTTTAAAATGTATTTTGTACAAAATTTGACACTAATTAATGAGTGAACTGCGATCATAAGAACATTCGTTAATAATATATTTTCTCAACACGAATAAACATAGAACTCAATGTATATTTAACATATTAATTTAAAATCAATTACTAAAGAATTTTTTCAATAAACTAAAGAATATTTTAAATATTAAGACTATTCAAAAAAATTTTATTGAAATCCTCTATCTCAAAAGAGTTCATTCACATAGCTTAAGTCCACTATAAACTTTTATATATCATAATAATAATTTTATAATTAAAAAGCTTTCTAAAATTATTAATCGGTAATTTCTGCAGAAAACAATTTTTCTGCTTACATTTCTTAAATCAAATTCTTCGTTATGCGTACCATATACACCATTTTGAACAGTTGATCCTCATATAAGCTAAGGACGTGTGCGAATCAGGCTAAGGACGTGTGCGAGTTAGGCTAAGTTGCATTCTAAATGCGGGAAATTCTAAGTTGTGCCGATAATGTAGTCATGTGTCAATACGTATTGATAAATGGTTAAATGTCTGCGGTGCGAAAAATCCCAAAAAACTTCCCATTTGGTTTAGCATCAACTTAGCCTAACTGGCACACGTCCAAAGTTGCGTTCTACATGAGGGAAATTCTAAGTTGTGCCGATAATATAGTGATGTGTCGATACGTGTTGATAAATGGCTAAATATGTGCTGTGCAAAAATCCCAAAAAATTTCCCATCAACTTAGCCTAATTCGCACACGTCCTAAGTATCATTAAATATGATATATTATATATTTTATGTATTTTATTCGGTTCTTTTTTTAGAACACTATTATTTTTTTTTTGTATGCATTTCGTATATAAATAATTTTTTTATATAATTTGAATATATTTTCAGGTTACCACTGAAGTAAACCTATTACTGCATTTCTTGAGAAAAAGGGCACAACTTTCTAAAAAATTATTCATATAAATTAAAAATATTCTGTATTTTAATATCCTTGAATAACTTGTCATTCTTACAAATAAATCAAGAAAATATTTCATGCAAATTTTCTATACATTTGCATATAAAAACGTTATATTGCGTTCTTTTATAATATTTAAAGGTCTAGTTCTTTAATGATATTTGATGGTTTTGTTCAAGTTAAAGAATGGCAATATATTTTTTTGCTGTCTCTCTCTTGTTGTCTGCTTGAAATATTTTAATTAATGTAAGGCTGATATGGGTGGGCAGAGAGTAATAAGCACTGGCTACCTTTTATATCAAAGAACACCAAGGGACGAACACCAGTTTACTGCCTAAAGCGAATGGTTTCAACTGTGAATGAAGTCCGAGCTGTCAAATCAATCAAATACATACTGAACATACTAATTTTTAACCTTTGTAACGTCTCACGTTTGACAGTTAATATATCAAGTAAATATAAGAGGGAATTTTAAATTATGTGCGGTTTAATGGAGAAAAATAGTAACAACACTTTAAAACGGTATATAAATAAAGAAATATATATTTCAGATATATGTGAAATATATTAAAAAAAATCAAAGACAAAGATATGGTATAAATAAATGTGAAATTAAAAATAAAAACGGTAAAAAATTAGCAAATCAAGAAGACAAACATAAATTTTTAACTGAAATCCAATAAAAAATGCGTATTCTCGATGTGTTCTACATTAAAAACTGATTATAAATTCAATTTTAATTAAGATATAATAGCAATTCATATCTCTGCTTCGATATATACGTTGATTTAAGGATCAGCACATCTCTATTTTTTATGAATTGAAAAGATGTTTTATAAAATTCAACAATTTATACTTCTCCGTACAATAGACCATCTATTGTATTTTTTACAATTGCTATAACAAAGATAACACAATAAAAGCCACTACTATACGATCATTCATTTTTTCATTATTTATTTGGTATATATTTATTATTATTATGTTGAAGCTAGTTGAGTCAGTGTACTTGAGCACTTTTATTCCCTATTAACTGCGAGCTGTCTTCATAACCCCACTCTACGCCGTGACTGGATTATTGTTTATTACGTTATAAGACTAAGCAAAAATTGACCTCAGATCTGCATACCTCCCTAAGATTTAACAGCTGAAGCGCTGCAACTGTTTTGACAGTTTCCGCTACAGCCGCATGCTGTTTTGACAGCTTCAGCTACAACTACAGCCGCATACTTCAACTACAGCTGCAAAATTCTGTTTCAATAGTTATTAAACATAACAAAATGAAATTATTGAAGAATTTTTTTTTATTATATATTTCGATACACATTTTGAAAAAATGTTATTTTATCCCGATGACGTTAAATTGCTCATTTTTATGGTTGCAATGCAATAATTTGTCAAGTTATCGTCACACCGACATATCTAACTAGTTTTTTGTTATTAACTGGACACTTATTTTAAAATCAACACATCGAAATTGCTAAATGACCATATTTTTTTTGTTCACATTATTCTTTAGCATTGTTCATATACAGACCAGAACAACTCCCTAAAGAACCGTCGTAGTTAGCGAGTAACCAACACTAAAATGTGTAACTCCTCCATTCAATTGAAAGTGAACAAGTATTATAACCCTATAAGCTTGCCTTAGTTCTGATATCACAGAATAACAGCTCTGTTCGGTCGATAAGAAAAAGGGGCCAAATCGTTAACGATTTTTAACGTTCTGTTAGTCAAAGTAATAAAAATTATGAAAAACGGGCTTCTCTATTATAATATGATATAATATAATATCCCAAGAAGTAATTACTGAAGTGTAGCAGCGTTGTCTGCAAATTTAAAACTCTTCACCAAAGCATTTTGCACATTACTCGCTCAGTTTTATTATCTGTTTTCGCCGTATAATAGTGACACAGCGGCTGAAGTAGGCTACAGCTTTGCTATGGTTTGACACTTTGACTGCTCTGTTACAACTCAAAGTTAAACGCAGCTCTGTTTAGCGTAGCGACGTTTTACCTAACACTTAATCACCATCGAGTTGCTCGCCAACTCTGTATCTTGTCAAGTATTTGCACAAGGCATCACTACAATATCCATCAGCACAAAATGAGCCAGCTCCGCGTAATCGCTTTTAAATAGTCTAAGACTGAATGCCAATCAACGAGTTCAGGGCTAACTACTTCTTTTTTCAGCCTGCATTGACATTTATTATTATGGTAATGGCGAGGCAAAACCATAGAATTTAGCAGAATTGTAAGTCTTCCTGCTCCCTTTTCAATTTCGCTTCCAAATCACATATATGTGGTTCAAGATTTGCAAATTGGTAAATGTCTTTACATTTTCTTCAAGTCCAAATTTACAATGAATTTGATAAAACCTCTCCAGAAAACTTATTTTCAGCATAAATTATTTTATTCCAACTTTACAATTTTTATAATTTGCAATTATTACAAATTACACCATAATATTAAGATATTTAAAAAGGTATATATATTATGCTACTATCCCAAGAGGAAAGTTTTCTACCAGCCCTAGATAGTCTAGCCACCAACAGCCGTGCAGCGGTTTCTTATAGATATTATTACCGAAAAGGTACATTCACAATAATTAGATTTTATGTTTTTACTCTTCTCATATTTAATTCATACATATTATATAATCCGTCTGTGATTTGGACGGTTGGTATCAAATCAATATAGTTTTAAATAAAAGACTGCACTGTTTCAAGTTTTACAAAATAAAATATAAACTTATTAAATGATGTTTCTTGTTTTATAATTTATTTTTTCCATTATGCTTCGAATAAAAAACTCAAAAGCAATATAAGTAAAATACTTTAATTACCGAAAAGGTAGTTCTTAAATAATAAACTATAGCACCAGAGAACTGCAACCAATCATAATTTTAACACTCAGAGGACACTCATAAAAATCCATATATAAAAGCGTATAAATGTTTTTCTTACACACTACTAATATACATCTATATTCGCCACAGAAATGCTTCATAAGTATATTCATTAGCGAATGCCCCGTGCTAATGAATCACCTTCACAAGATTGCATGGACATTTCTAAGTAGAGTAACTTACAGAAATGGCAAATGATTCATGAATCATACCATACACTCAGGTGAGTATAAATACAAGTATACTCATCGAAAATGAATGACTCAAATGACTTGTAGCATTCGTAAAAATTTTGTGAGTGCTGTTGTTTGCTAAGCAAAAATTTTGTGTGTTAAGTTCTATGCTTTTGGCATGTGTTATTGTTGTTAGCATTGCAAATACATTTTGTTTGTGTTCTTAAATATAAGTCCTGTTCCACGAACTACTCGTAGTAATTTTGAATAATGCTGTATACCATCAAGTGCGTCTAATAGCAAATTTTCGAGTAAAAAGGATTTTATTTGAACATTTTCTTTCGAGTAAAATTTGTGTTGATGTATGAATCAGCTGTTTTGGTTTGAATTTAAATGTTCGAATTGTGTATTTGCGCAACACTGGTTTAAGTAAAAAAAATTCTGAAATATTCATTGTATTAATTATTTCAAATAAATCAATAGTAGAATGGATCAAAAAAACATAATAAATATTTTGTTAAATGAACTAAGTGATACTGCACAGCTAGAATATAAAGTATTTAATATACTTCGAAATAGTGAGATATGTCTGTAAAAATAACATAAAATACATTTTTTATATTAAATTTAATTACCAACAGTAGTCTAACTTACTTTATAAAAATAAAATTTAAATAAATTAATTTAAAATAATATTTAAAATTATTTGCGCATGTTATTATAATATAAAACTTTCTTTGCTTTTCATGATGTATTTTGCACTCTTATTTTTTAACTTCAATTTCTACTGATTTGTTTTTCAAAAAACAGCTGTTCTCGCAAGACTTTACATAAAGCTGTTCCATGAAAATTTGTAATATGGTCTTAGTTTGTACTTTACTTGTGTTTTACTCGAATTTTACTAAGAGTAGCTCGTGGAACAGGTTGTTTTAGTAAAAACAGTCCTCTCATCTTCGCCCTCCGATCTATCAAAAACCGATTGTTAAGTTCATGTTGTGTAAATAGGCGATATTTATTTTGAATTTTGATTGTTTGTTTATGTTTACATTTGTTTCGTGTGTCAAATATGTCAAATTTTGATCATTTCCAATGTTGTATTCTTCATTTTTGGTATCATTTTGGTCGAATTTTATTTACTATATTCTTTAATAAATTAAAAAGCACAGAAGCTGTTTGTACAGTTAATGAAATTTACTCAGTAAGTTAATTTTACTAAGTAAGCAGTGGAAACGTACTATAAGACCAGTTAACTTACTTAAGATTGCTTGAATTACTTGAATCTCAATTAAGTTAGCTGATCTAACAAAGCCAGCGGAAATGTACTATAATACGCTGCACATATTTATGCAAATTAAAACTTTTACCAGTTTTAGAGCAATTTCAATTTCAATTTCATATGCAATTTTAAAGCATATGTTTTATCTAGTAGTGAGTCAGAGATAAGTACACTATATTCAATAAAAGTGTCACATCTATAACATCAATATACGGTGATGTACAAAAACAAATGATCGTTCACTCGTTGTAAAAAGTAATTCGCGTCTGTTAATATTATTCAATATGTTAACGGCTGGGGATATTGTGTAAATTATCGGGTTTCCCCATTCTGCAGTGAATGTTTTTTTCATTTAAGAACAGCATTAAAAAGTGGTTTGATTGTCTAATATTAACGCTGCTGAGTGTATTTTTGATATTAAAACAAATTTCAAAATGAATAAATTGCCAGTTGTCGCCATGCCCACAGTTTCTGCTGGTGCAGAAAATTTAAAAGGCGAAAATAATGTTTGCAAAGTGGGCGCTACCTACCAACAACGTAAATCAATGCAGTCTATGTATAGTGATTTGTTTAAAGCTTTGTTGCGTCTTCCCGATAAACAGGTGCAACAGCGCGTTTTAGATGCAATAAACGGCGTTCAGGTTTATAAATGTCCAAAATGTAGTTACACATTTCAAAATCCTGATGTAGTTGCGCAAGCAGAAAATAATACGCCAATTCTCAACGTTAAAGACAAGATTCTACTACCGCTTAAAGGCGAACCAAGTTTTCGACCGAAGTCAATTATATACGGCGGCAACATTACGTTTAATGCAAATCCAATTAAAATAATTGGAAACTTGAAAAGATTGCCACTTGCAGATGCAAAGATTTCGCCACTAATTCAACCAAGTGCAAAATTGATAAAACTTGACGAAAATGCCGAACCAAAACAATTTATTAAACCTGTACCAATAGAAAAGCTAATGGATAAGTCAAGACTGGTAATGAACTCTTCTACAGAAAACGGACTAACATGTAATTTGAAAACAACACTAAAGACTGAGAAGGAGGAAGAAGATACATTGGAAGCAGCGAAGGAAATATCAGATGAAGTGAATAAGGCTGATATAAGCGCGGTTAATGAGGATGGTCGAAATAAACGAAAGCGAAAACGCAAGGAGCGCGTTCCACAAGTTATAAAAAAATCTCATGCATTATTAGCACAATCTAAAATGGTTCCGAAATTAAAGAAACATAAAATAAATTTGGTAGGTGCATTTGAAATCTTTTTGTATTATTTTCTTAATTAAAAAAATATATTCTTATTTTAGGAAAAAGTTAAAACTTCCAATCAACCAAATTCTATAGATAATTCTGAGTTGCCGGACATGCCCTTCATTGCAAATGTCTTATCACTTCATAATGAAAATTCTAATTCAAGTAATACCTCGCAAATTGACCACATTCAAAAAACAATGAAAGAACAGTATGTGAACTTAGAAATTGTGACTGATGGCATGTTGTAAGTATGACCTAAATAGCAGTATATAACCCTTCCTTCTAGTGTATTTCGAAATATCACACATATTTTAAATTAATTTTACTCTTATTTTAGCCCTATACACCAAGCAGTTTGCAATAACGACGAATTTTTACTAAAGCAGCACATTTTCCTTTGGACTAAGTTCAAGCAAATCGATTTGAATTCGTTGTACACAGATGAAGACGAGGTAAATAACCACGTTGTATGATTATTCTTGATATGCTTCTATAATAATTCATTTCATTCAGGATTTACTGCAGTTGGCGATAATCCATAATAGCTTTCCTGAAATTGTTCAAATCCTTTTAGACAATAACTTGGATGTGCAAGATTTGAGGGATAATTCTAATACAGTTATACATTTAGCAATTATAAACCAAATAAACATACAATCTTTTATATTACTTATGGAAAAGATTGATTTGCAGCTTTTAAGTAAATTAAACGACGACGGTCTCTCACCGTTGCATCTTTCACTTAGGTCAAACCAATTTTCATATGCTGAAGTAATGCTTAACACAGTCGATAAACGTCTTATGGGTTGCGTTAAGTACTGTAGAATTAGCGATTCTAAAGAAGTGGATCCGATTGATTACTATATCAGTATGTGTGAGCAAATTGATGAAAAATACATTCAAGAAAGCTTGAAACATTCAGCAAAAACTAAATTGCTAAATGTTAGAGAAATGATGACTGGTAATACTGCATTATTTCATGCTGTCGGAAAAAATACAGGTATGAGTAATGTTTTTTTTTTTTTGTTTTTTTAAATGCTGTAATTAAACATATTCTTATTTTCATTTACAGAGAATTTCATTTATTTTCTGTTAGCTCATGGTTCTAACCCTAGCGTGCAAAATTACAGTGGACAAGATCCCAGATCATTTTTGGGAGATCACGGAAAACTTTTAAGTATAAGTTTAAAGGTGGACCGTACAATGGAGAAATTATCAAAAGTAATAAGAAAATACGACAAATAAAACTATTCCTTCAAATATGCTATCAAATGTTAACAAAATAGTTCAATATAGCTTGACAATTTTGAGATATTAGTTTGCGGAGCAACCTTTTAGTACCTGTTTTTATAACAAACAAAATCTGTTATTAAATCTCCATTAATTCCGATGACATAATTTAACGCCTAATTCGCAGAAAAAACAAAGTTTTTTTTATTATTATTTAATCTAAAACAGCTCGACTTAGTTCTTATTATTATGACAACTCATTTTCGTCATTTTTCTGAATAATTTATTTTTACTATGTGGACATGCAAATAAAATGATTTAATTTAAAACAATAACAATTAAAGTAATAATATTTAATATGTTTCTATATTACATAACACATATGTTTAAGTTCAATACTAAGACAATTATTATTTAACATATATTTTTAAGTTTAAAGTTAAGAATATTATTATTTAACACATATCTTTAAGATGAAATATTTTAACGGAACTGTTCGCGGTTACGGACTGACAGCTTTGGACTAACCCTCTTCAAGTAGTTGGGTTTAGGTATCTGGACCCGGGTTGCAATCCCACACATCCTTTATCCCCCACTCCTTCCGTTTTCTCCGCACCATTACCACAACATTACTCATCCACATCCCAACCCATGTATTTTGTAACCCCTACATGTTATCTGCTCGGTGGGTAACGGACTGACGGGGACTGTTGTTATTATTTAAATGCTAATATGATATATAAATATAATATAATCAAAGCTTTTGTTCTAGAGGAATGAATCTTTAATCTTTTAAAGCGTCTTTATCTTGGTGTCAATGCACTGGTGACGTGATTTTATGCCAACAGTGTTTAAACAATCCCAAATTAAAGATTCTTGAATATAACTGGACACATCAGTCCAGCAAGGTTGTAAAGTAAAACTCAAGCAAATCACGTGTGTGTGTTTGCGAAATAAAGTAAGGGCTACATGTCTTTGAAATAAAAATAAATTTTTTAATAGTTGAAATATCAAAATGAAAATACACATAAAAAATAGTTGCTTAATCTAATAACAACAATATTAACAATAACAGCTATGACATTGAATCAAGTGTTACCTATAGACTTAACGGAAAATGATCTGAAATGAAGACTAGAAGAACCGTAAGAAAGAACTGTCGCTTTAAACTAAAAATTTAAAATATATAAAAATATGTAACTAAAAACTAAACTTATTTTCATTTATCTAATAGAAAAACCTAAAAGATATATAAGAGGTATAATTTAACTTTGGTAAACGAAGTTAATTTTTATTTTGATAAGTTTACAATGGAGTACACATAGAGTATCAAGGAAGTTGATACTTGATATAATATCAGATGTTAATCTAGACCGCAATCATATATGTACACTGTTGCAATGACATGTCGTATTGCGATTTACTTTCAGAGGGTATTAAAGACATAATTCGCCAGAAACTATTTATTTACGGAAGTTGTTGGAAAAGAATTTAAAGAATTTTATGAATCTAAATGTCAATAGTCCAATTAGAGTTGCACATTCTTCTAGTTCTATGCAAACTACCCGCACAAAAATTAAGACAATATATTCATAAAAATATTTAAAATTAGAATAATATAATTCTTGATGAAGTCAATAGAACAGCTTTTCCATACGCATACATAGCAAATTTAAAGCGTAATCGATGTAGCCTTCAACAATGTGTGAAACTGCCGATGTCAAATTTACTAAATGTTAAATTAACTGAATGTCCAAATTATTAAATGCTTAAATTACAAAATGTTCAAATTATTGAATGCTCAATTTACTGAATGTCCAAATTATTGAATGCTCAATTTACTGAATGTCCAAATTGCTTAATGTTCAATTTTCTGAATGTCCAAATTATTAAATGCTCAAATTTACTGAATGTCCAGTTCACCAAATGTACAATTCACTAAAAGTCTAATTTAATGAAAGTCCAATTTACAAAAAGTCTAATTAACCGAAAGTTAAATGGTTAATCGTCCAATATAAGAAATATCCAACTTAAGAAATGGCAAAGTAAACGAATATAAGAAAGAATTTATTGTTAACAAAAAACACTTAAATTATTCCTCTGCTATACTCTGAAAAACATGACACATACATAAAACATATATCGACAGATATCAATAAAATCAATTCCATCATTATAAAGCCTATTTCTTGATTAATACGATGAGATGGTACAACTTTGCGTCTAAGCAAATTACAAATTACAAATCATAGCACTATTAGGGTTTCAACAACTCTAATCCCAGTCCCGGAGCCACTCATCGAGTTCGAAGATCAAAATGCCGTTTAACATTCTTAAAGGCAACAACCCTACAGGTTACAACAACATAGCATTATTAGAATAAATAATATCATATGTTTAAAATTAATATTATTATACACAAATTTATTATTTTGTATATAATATTTTTGACATTATGAATAATAAAGTACCAAACAACATAAATTATAAAATAAATTAAATTTGCTTAATTTGCAAATTTGTGTAAAACGAAAGCAATAAAAATGTATGTCGCTTTATATTGCCTATAAATCCAAATTCATTGTTTTATAATTTTATTAACACACAGTCTTTAAATAATATTAAAAAACAAATAACACAAGGAATACATATATATTAACATAATAACTATATTATACACATAATAACTATATTATGTATTTTATAATTATAAAAATACTATAAAATGCTCTAATAACAAACATTGATGGAAAACACATTTAACAAAATTTACATGCGTCCCCACTCTTCATTACTTAAGTCTTTACATAATATATTAAAATTAATTGCCTTCAAAGACGGAGGCAGGTTCTTTGATAACTTAGCTTTTCTGTGATTGCCGGTGGCAGTAACATTCCAAGGTAATATATTTCTCCAATTATGTGATGCTATACTTTTTGCGTGCTTTAAGTTATTCTTTTTTTGCAAAGTGTTAACTAAAATGGAAAATTTCACATAATTAAAATAAAAATATTTTTTTTTCAATAATAGAATTTAATAAGAATATGTTAAAAAATGTTTATATGTAAAGAATATTTACCAATTTTTTGTAACTTTTGTTTATCTGCTGTACTAAAATGAGAGTGTTGACAATATAAACCAAATCTACAGATGTTCCTTTGAAAATGAATACATGGACTTTTTGCGTTTTCTTCCATCAATACAACGTATGGATCTAAAAATAAAAAAAATAAATCATTCAATATATCCAACACATAAATATTGTAATGTACCTTCGAATTGTCGCATATAGGTATACTTTGCTATGGAATGTGATAATCCTGATTCATGTCTCTTTCGTACACTTAAATTATTTTTTAAATAGCAGCAACAATAGTCACAATAATAACTCCTGCCACCCATTGCAACAGAAGCCGCCAATACAAAATCCTAGGAAAATATAATTTACCACAGCAAATTCATTAATAATCGACAGTTAATGAACACAGAGTTGTATTTAATATTTAAAATATTTTTAATTATTTAAGCCATGTGCGAGTTCGAGTAAATTGAAGTAAAGTAAAATGAAATTTCCTAGGAATTTTTTGTACTGTACTTATGTAAATATTTATAAATTTATTTATTGCATTCATTTATCATTTTTGGTCAAAAGTTTTAAAATTTATTATTATTTATCTTATAAAATTTTCACATCTAATCTAACATTTAATTTACTTAATTTTTATCTAATTTACATTACTCGAAATTCTGGTAAATACCAACAGTCACTGCCATACCGAGATAATTTTTTATTTCCCTCAATTTACTCGAACTCACACACGGCGTAAATAAATTAAGTATTTTATTTATATCTATTATTTGTTATTGTAGCTGCACCTATCGCTTTAAAGCAAGTTATATTTTCTTGAAATCGATGGTATCTAATGTCTGTAGATTATTCTTTTTGCTTATTAAAAAATGGAATAAATTATTTATTTTAAAATTTTGATCAGGAATATAATAAGTTAGTACCAAATTCAAATGAAGTGAGTCAAGCCTTGAAAATAGTTTAAAATCAATTTTAGTATTATGTAATTATTACGCCTTTTCGGTGGCCTAATAAATAATTAATATAAATTGCAAATTAAAATGAATATAGAGTTAAAAGGAATGGTAAATATGTTGAAATTTTCAAAATAATAAACTGAAATTTTTCTTTTTCCCAATTTTCAAGTTTATTGCTATATTGTTATTGTTAATGTAAGTTAAAAACTTAAAAGCAACGATTCTGGTGATTGCCTTATGCTATATTTAGACAGCCAAATTTTCTTAATTTCGTTCAAATGAAATTAAGCTAATTTCGAAAATGTTCTTACTGAACCAAATTAAGGAAATCATATGTTTTTTGCTTACAAATCGAATGTTAAAAATTACATGCTCCAAACACAAGTTGTATCTGGGAAATTTTAAAAGTTGATTTTTATAACTATAAAGAAGGGCATTCAGTAGTTTCATTAGATTTAGTGGATTTCAGGTCCATGGATTATTATTTTTCACTCCATTTTATATAAATAACTGTAACAGTTCTTTCTCTCTATTCAAATTTAAAAATTTGCACTACTTTTAAAATATTTTCCCGGTTTTATTAAAGTCAACCCTCACTGACATTTATTGAAAAAAAATGTGACCTTTACGTTATCTCAACTTTATTTTTTGTTTAAAATTTGTTTCACGCATAGTTTCATTTGAAATGTCGCTTAATTTAAGCCTTCGTTTCAACGAAATTCAGGCCATTTTTCTTAATTTCTTTCTAACTTTAAAACTGAATTTTGTATGAAAAAAATAACTTTATTTCTCTGAAATGAAGATGAAATTAAGATTTTTGCGAAATTAAGGTGAGTCTGAACTAATATTTCAATTCGAATGTATTCAAAACAACTGATAAACAAATCAATAAATAGTTCTGGAGTTAAATTTGTGTATTTTTGACAGTTTGACGAGAGTGTTGCACTCTCCGTGGTCACTCTCTTGTGTTACACGCGGATGGTGGGACGGACAATGTTTATTCATAAAAACGTGCAACATCGAGACTTATTTCGTTTGACACATTACTTGCGCTTATGTTTATGTCAAAACAAATGCGTTTGTGCGTAAACAAATATTTTTGATTAGAATTCGGTGTAACTAATCTCGAAAATAATTATTTGAATATTTACTTGAAATGAGTTCTCCTGATGTGCATTCTAATCAATTCGATTGTTCGGAGGTGAAAACTGACGACAATGCCAACTGCTGCATTTGTGATAATTTGTGTCTTAGCAATGAGTATTTAAGCTGCATGATATGCGAATACAAAACGCATATAAAGTGCCTGAAGAGTAAGTGCACTCCTGGTGATTTGCACGGTGATGTCTTTTTTGACATGACTTGCTCTAATTGTGTGGCGGAAAACTTTAATGCAGCATCCACATCAACGGCGATTGTGCGAGAAAAGTTTGAACGCCAACAGTTGCCGTGGCTAATGATTATCACGCTGACAATATATAATTTGTCGATAAAGGCGCAAGGATTGAGTAATTGCGGTTATTTTCATTGGCGTTCACACATTTGTAGTTTTATTGATAAAAACTGGAATATATTGTTTCCACAAACGACGTAAGTATTCGTACGTTTAATTAGTTTATTTTAATTAAAATAAATTTTTAAAGTCGTCGTCGAAAGAATTGGATTGGTTCGATATCAGGTACATTGTCACATAACAACCCTAAATTCTTTTTGTCAGGACACGAAGTATTTAACGAAGCTGGTTGGTGGAAATTGGCATTTTCAAACTATACACCACTTCAAATTTTCACTATATGTGAGTTATAAATATAATTTTATTAATTTTTCATACTTAATACATGTCTACATTGCAGACAAGAAACAGTTGGATAAACGACAAAAAAAGCGAAGTAGGAAGGCCGAAGAAGATCATGACGATACCAGTGAGAACTCAGATACATCAAGTGATGCTCCACTCAAAGCAAAAAGAAACTGTATACAAAGCTCCGAGCATGATTTAGAGTCAACTAAGTCTTGTGCGCGGTCAATGTTAGTAAGACCAAATACACATACGTACATCTATTTAAAAAACATTTATTTGACGTTCATTTGACAGACCATACATGGGACTTAAATCAAAAAACAATCAAAAGATTGTGAAAAATAATGCTAGTAATAAGAAAAGTTCTCAAGAACAAAATTTAAGCACAGTACAGTCTAATCTGCTTGATTTTCTAGCTGAAAGTTTTGGCAACGATGATTTCTCATATTTTAGCGATTTTTCAAATATGGAATCTGAACCTTTGAATAGCGAAGATAAAAGCGAATATTCCTCTTTAATTGATACTCATAATCATCAAATAGAATTATTCGATAGCGGAGTTGCGCAATTCGGCACATTTGAGAATCCTTTTGAAGCACTAGATAACGACTTCATGTGCAAAAAATTCAATGATCATTTCGAAATACAAGCCGGTAATAACTTGCTCGGCAATGAATCAACACATAATTTAGATTTTCGCAAGTAAGTTACTTCTTATAAGTACAAATTATGCTATTAACTATCAACTATTTTCAGTGATAAAAAGGCAGAGCAAAGCTTACAAACAACAGACTGTTATCAACCGCGCTTACTGCAAATAACCACATTTGAGAAAAACTCGGGTTCAAAAAAAATTTTAGTCAATGCCGAAAATTCCAAAAACTTAAATGAGTCGGATAGTGAAAATGTATCGGATAACAGTCATAGTGAGCCGCAAACAAAAAGGAATGTCAAAAGAAACAAACTAGAATCGATTATTACACCATGTAAACCAAATTTATTTACAAAGAAACAAGATCGTGCCTTCCCATGGGTGGCAACTGAAAATGTAGAGAAATCTACAAATACGCAAGAAGGAGTTTCATTAAAACCAGAAAAAAGGTTGTGTACAAATTTAAAATTATATCCAATAATTTGTGAATTCATTTGTATGAAACATTTTAGATTAGCTTTAATAAGCATATACGAGGAGAAAGAACTTTTAACAAAATTTCGGAAAGTGTTTTCTTTAGAAAAAAATTCATTGTCTGATATTCCTGCATATGTTAGACGTTTTTACAGAAAGCTCTGTATTCGTGACTATAACCGTTCACACAACAAAAATTTGTTCAATATACATAATCATTTGAAAGGCAGAAATAATTTAATTGAATCAAAGTCAAAAATCATAGATCGTTTTCATGTAAGTTAACCTGATTAAGAATAAGATTTTTAAATGATTTTCCAAAACTTGCTTTCAGCTCATTTCATTAACTCCACAAGAAAGTCTCAAAACCTTCAACGCTCGTATGGCTGGTATCGTGGAATACGAAGTGTTTGAATCGCCCTATTCATTGAGAACGCTACATCCTTTCATATACAGGGATACAAAATGTATGCCACTTATGCTACAGGTAATGCACATTTGCATGAAATTGGCGTTGTATAAATATTTACTTTTACATTTTTTAGTTACACTGTGAATTACAACTGACTATTAATAGCGTATATTCTAAACGCGCTTCCATTGATTATTGTTACGTACGTCCAAACCATATACCTGCTATAAATGCCTTATTAGAATGCGAATTTTGGCCAGGAATCGATAGTAAGTTTTATAATTAAAACAATTAGCTTCGGTGCTTTAAATTAAATATTATATAGAAAACATATGTGTACATATACATATATTTATATATATTTAGATTTGAAAAGAAATATAAATAGAATAGATTTTAAATTAGATTTAATGAGATGTTTAGACCTGAGCTTATGCGAATCAACAAATTTATTTAAGAAAAGTTTGAAATTTGCACTCCGATCTAGAGTTCGATTGCGTCGAAACATACTTTAATAAAATAAATAAATATTTATACCACACAACGTCTCAACAACAGCCTAGATGACTTGAGTAAGCAACTACACTTGATGATTGAACCACAACACATTTTGTAGCTCTGTGACCTATGATTATAGATATTCGAACTTAAAATATTATTATCTTTTTTTTTAAAAAATTTAATTCAAGCTTATTATATCAATAGAAAATTATCAAAATAGTTACAATTTAAAGTGCTGGAATTTTTTTTCATTTCAACTTATATTTCTTATTTTTGTTTTAACATATTTTTTATTTTTACAGTGTCTGAATGTTTGAGTTATCCTGATTACACAGTTGTGGCTATGTATAAGAAGCTTGTCGTAGGCTGCGCATTTCTAACACCTGATGTTGGCTACAATGAAGCATATTTATCTTTCATGGCTGTTCGATGTGGTTGGCAACGTTGTGGAATTGGTTCGTTCATGCTCTACCATTTGGTCCAGACTTGCATGGATAAAGACATCATCCTGCACGTATCAGCATCCAACTCAGCAGCGTTATTATACCAAAAATTTGGATTCAAATTCGAGGAAATTATAATAGACTTCTATGATAAGTACTTACCAATCGATTCAAAACAGTCACGAAATGCAATTTTTTTAAGACTGGCGAGGTGACATGTTGTTTAAGTTATTTTTATAATAAACAAATTGCATAAAACATGAAAAAACTTTTTATTTTTGGTTCGAATATATTGTATTATTTGTTTTACTTTGGAATATTACATATGAGTCATATCCAATTATTTTTTATATATATTGTGGAATTTATTTTAGGCGAAAATTTTCTCCTCTCTGCGTTTCTTAGTTACTACTGTACCAGGCTTATGCTGAGCATCTGGATGATTCATCAACTCAGGTGGACAAACCGATACTGGACTTGCCATAACACATTGCTTGAGGTCGTAAAACAGAGTACTATCGTCTTTCGTAATAAATGAAATTGCTACACCGTTTTTACCGGCGCGGCCAGTACGACCAATACGATGTGTATAATCTTCTATTGTTTTTGCCATATCGTAATTTATAACTAAAGATACATCCTTAATGTCAATACCACGACCAGCGACATCTGTTGCTACCAATATATCTTTAGCACCAGATTTAAGTGCTGCCAATGCATATTCACGTTGCTCCTGGCCTTTACCGCCATGCAATGTACAAGAATTATAGCCAAGTTTTTCAAGTCCTTTAGCCAGAACGTCTGCACCTTTCTTTTGATTAACGAATATGATAACTGGCGGTTCAATACCACGCGAAAGAATCTCCATCAGTTTCTTACGTTTATCGTTCTCACCCATCATGTACACAATCTGTTCAGTGCGTTCAGTTGGTTTACCAACGGAACCGATATATACAGTGGCAGGTCGTCGTAGATAAGAGCGAGCCAATCTCTCTACAGCTGGAGGCATAGTTGCCGTAAACATAACAGTTTGTCTGTAAAAACCAAATAATTTATTTAAATGAACGTTTCAAAATATGTATAAAATTTACTAGTTTGTGCAGTTCATTCTTATGAACTTGTTACTAGTTCATTTTTATGAACTAGTTCATTAGTTCATTTTTATGAACTAGTTCATTAGTTCATTTTTATGAACTAGTTCATTAGTTCATTTTTATGAACTAGTTAATTTTTATGAACTAGTTCAATAGTTTATTTTTGTGAACTAGTTCAAAAGTTCATTCTTTCACATAAATTTACTTTGGTCAATAGTAAACTAAATTGAATTGTTTAATTTACATAATTCTAATTCAATTTATTTCACTTTTTTCGTATAAAGAAAAGATGACCAACTACTTATATTGTAATTCTAATAATAACAGACGACAATTTATGATAAAAAACGATCTATAAACCTTCGAATCAATTATCACATTGTTGTTGCTGTAGCCCCTGAGGATTGTGTAGTCCCTTTGGGAGCTGGTGAACGACATTTGGTCGTCGAAATCCGGGAAGTAGACCCACTCGTTCTTGGAACAAATCTTTTGTCATAACACATTTTGCTAGAGACTTCTCTAAAACATTGTTTTTAAACGTATCCCAGACTTTTGTTGCTGACTAAAATCGTTCACACAGTTTGTCTTTAATGGATACCCAATCAATACTATATCTTATGACCTATTAAGGAATAGTATAGACCTATTGAAAATACATTTAAGGTACCATTCAGAATTCAACTTTATATATTGTTTTAATCACGATAAACACATCAAAAACAGGTTTACAGATGGACAGACGGACAGACATCTTTATATCAATTTGTCTTTATTGTACATTATTTTATGATCTCGATTGTCGTGGATTCATTAAGACCTACCATTCAATAGCATTAGGACAAAATTTTGATGTACATCGATGTTGTTTTAATCATGATAAACACACAAAAAATAGGTTAAATAGGTTAACTACTTCACAGATCTGTACAGATTACAGATTACCCCCAGCTATCAAAGAGTAAAAGTGCCCAGTTGCGCTGACTCGAAAAAAAAGGATCAACATACAATAATATCTTTCCTAATATCTTACCTACCAGCCTATTAAAAACAATTACCGCTGAAAATATACTTTCGATGTATAAATATATTAAAGCCTATAAACTAGTAAATAAAATTTAATTTATAATATCCGAGCTGAAAGCGTGGCAGCTAGCGCTTGTTTTTTGACCTTAGTTATAAGATTTTTTATTTTGTAATTAATTATAATAAATAAATAATCAATATATTAGTTCTATTATATATAATATAGTTTACTAAGTTATTGGTAGATGACTATATTAGTCATTACCGTAGATTTGAAGAGAAAACATATAGAGGTTTTTCGAATAATAGTAAACTACAACAACAAAAATTCATTTTATATTATTTTAATTAATTGAATTTTTGGCTGACCATACAGCTGTGTCGAGTATTGTCAAATAGACATCATCAGTACTTTTGGAAATAATTCTTGTTTATTGAGACTGCAAGTACCAGGAATCGATGTCCTGCCAAATTTGAAGCTCAGAGTCAGCGCTAATTAACCAACTGACACAAAGCCGTACTTGACTTTTGTGTTCGCACATTTTTCTGTAGTTTTGTCACTTTACTGCGAACGTTTTTATTAACAAATTCACTTGCTGTGTTTATATTAGAACAAAATCATAAACCAGCTGTAGAATAATTGAATTAATTATATTTTTATTTTTTAATTGTTAAATTTCAATACTATTGTGTTTGCAGAGCCATTATTTGTTGCATGCTTTTATAAGCACGGGCGAGAGAGAGAGAGAGAGAGAGAAATATATTAAATATTACAATATCTTAATAAAAAGAACTATTATAAACTAAAAATAAATAAATAAGTCATTATTTATGATTTAGCTTACCTGTATTTCTTCTTCGAATAAAAATTTTCCATTAATTTACTTGCGTCTTCTGCTTCATCCGTATCTGGTTTTAGGTTGGTAACAGGCATATACTCTAAGATTTTCTGTACATCAGGCTCAAAACCCATATCAATCATACGATCTGCTTCATCAAGTACAATATATGTACATTGAGACAAAACTAAGTAACGATTTTCTAACACATCAATTAAGCGACCGGGTGTAGCAATAACAATTTCACAGCCTAATCTGAGACGAAAACCTTGCTCCTCTCTAGATAAACCACCTACTACGACCACAGTCCGAATGCCCAATGGTTGTCCAAATTTAGTAGTTTCCTCTTCAATTTGTTGCGCTAATTCACGAGTTGGAGCCATAATAATGGCATACGGACCTTGGTCAACATCTTCCAGTCGTTCAATTTTTGGTAACGATTGAATCCAAGATAAAAGCGGTATTAGGAAAGCAAGTGTTTTACCTGAACCTGTTTCAGCTACACCAATAATATCTCTGTTTTGCAAACCAATGGGTATAGCTTGTCGTTGTATAGGTGTTGGTTCCTTGTAACCAACTTTATCAATAATTTCAATGATTTCTTTTGGAAATCCAGATTCACCCCAACTGCGTATTGGATTGGGAATTTTACCACCTTTAATTGTAATATTGTAATCTTCTCTAAATATACGCCAATCACGTTCAGTCATTTCATCCAAATCTTTTTCGGACCAATGCCGATCATCCCATTTTTGTTTATCTTCCTTGCGTTTCACTTTCTTCAAACGTACTTTTTCTTGTTCCTTTTCAGCTTCAGTACGACGTTTTTCCAGTAAATCCCCATAGAATTTACTTTGAGTACGCTTTTGCTCCTTTATGTCGATACCTAAATATTTATACATTATAAGTTCAGTTTATATGAAATTAGTTTTATATATCAATTCTTACCAGCAACATTGCCCCGACCAAAAAACTGTACATGATGTCGTTCTTTATAAAGATTGTTATAATCTATGGAAGTATCTTCACCAACATCCCAGTCGAAAACAAATTTCCGGTCATTCAGTCTACGAACACGTCTCTTCTTCTTGATAATACCCAGATAACGTTCACGAATGGCCTCTAGTTCTTTCTCTTTATCTTTGATTGTAAGATCTTCAGCGCGTTTATTATCACGATCTTTCTCCTTATCCTTTTCTTTATCCCTTTCACTGCGCCGATCTACACGTTCACTTTTAAGATCTGTGGCGCACACAATATCAACAGAAGCAACACATGGGCGCGCCGCTTGTAATCGCATCGCTGCCACTTCTTCCTGCCGTCGTTTCAGCGCTTCTATTGCGCGCTGTTGTTTGGTCAAGAATACAGGTTTGCTCCGAACTTCTTCTTCACGTTTTTTCTTTTCGAGTAGTTCCTCTAAGGAAAGTGGTTCAGTTTTCTTAAATTTCTTCTCTAATTCATTTTTAACATCAGCAATTGCTTCACTTTTGAAATCTTTACTTTCTAACATTTCTTCCTTCATTTTTTCTTCATATTTATGTTTTTCTAGTGTTGAACCACTATGCTTGGTACGTTCGTGTGATTTGGACCGCTCACGTATTTCCAGATTTTTCTTTCTATCTTTGTCTTTTTCGGAAGACCTACCACTTCCATAACGTTCTTTTGATCGAGACCGAGATCTGCGCATTCTTCGCTCTTTTTCACGATCGCGCAAACGTTCCTTTTCCCAGTCTTTGTCATGGTACCAATCACGCTCCCGAGAACGTGAACGACGTTTCTTATCGTTACCCATATTCCATTAACGCGATTTCTTGATTGAGAAAATAGTTTGACTCTTTAATTATTCACTATTGTACAAATTGCTATAAAAAGTGAGGCTCATATAAAAAATATCAAACACCAAACAATTAATTTACACACATGGAGAGCTCACTATTTCCAAATAGATGCTCTCGAACCACTGTTACTAGATGTTGCAGAAAATCAGGTACAACCAGAGAACATACACAAAAACAGAAGTCAAATTTACAAAATACTGTGCAAAAAATTAGAAACACGCCAATTCACGGCCAAAGGTAGAAATAATCATGAATGTCAAAAATTTTTTATATTATATCAAAAATTTAGAATAGGATTAAAATATGTAGTACAGTCAAATAAAGTGAAAACTCGAAATGATGTGCATAATAATTAGCTTCTATAAAACCGATAATAATTTTTTTGAAAAAGTCGTTTACTGTGCTTTAAATGATATTTAATTTCATTACAAAAATTGTAGACCACAACATTCCCTAAAAATTAGTTTTTAACAATTTTTCTTAAATTTCATCGCCCTTAAGGTAAAATGCCGAGTGTGACCCTGAGATGTTCGCTTTCTACCGCTTGGGCAACTGTGTGGTATGGATTACACAATACGATTTATAAATTTAGTTATTTGGAAAAAATTATATAATTAACAAATAAACTATTAACTAATTATTAGTTATTAACTATTTAATATTAATTATGAAATAATAATAGTTTGAAAATATATTAATTTGATTTTGATTTATTAGCAGTTTTTATTAGGTCTGTTCCACAAGCTACTCGTAATAATTTTGAGTAACACTGTGTATAAACAAGTGCGTTCCATCAGCAAATTTTCGAGTAAACGAGAGCATCTGAGAGAGCACAAATTTGTATTGATGTATGAATCAGCTGTTTTAGTTTGATTTTAAAATTTTGTATTATTTATTTGCGCGGCACTTATGTTTTCACAAGACTTTACACAAAGCTGTTCCATAAAACTCTGTGTAAAGAGCGTAATATGAGTTTTACTTAGTTCTATGTTATACAGATAGTCATATGACCGTAGCAATTTTATGTTATAAGCAAAAAGTTGTAAGATTATTGCAAGAATTATAAAACAGTGATAAATACTGCTCATTTAGCAGTAACAAGTGATATTAGAAGTTTGAAAATTATATAAACGAATTTATTGACGATCTCGTATTGCTTTCTTAAGAGCCTGAGCTATCAAAAATGTAAAATATTTGGTCAATGCGCCGTGTCTTTGACTGTGTATTCTCCTTACTTCATTATAAACAAAATTTACACTTTCATATAAATTCAAATAAAATATAAAATGATCAAAAATAATTTTTTTGCTTCTTTCATTTTATTTACATTTATATAAAAAACATTTTTATAAAATTATCTAAAATTATCACAAAAATAGTGTTTACAACAACAAATTTGTTCAAAATTTTCTTTACTTCTCATATGTTTATTGATTTAGGCAGTCATACCAAGAAGTTGTTCTATTGGCGTCTTCATGTCAAAAGAACACATCTCATTATGTGATATTGATTACCAATAGAATTTAAATAAACGCTATTTGTTAGAATAATTGCAATTATTGCTGCAGTTTGAAAGGGCAATAGGTTATATTACCCCCCATTAACAGTAGATCCTGACTGTGCTTAGAGTACAAAGAACTTTTACCTATATAACATCATTATAAAACCAAAACGTACTCAAGGCATTCAGCTATTTGATAGTGCTAGTGCTAGTGCTTAAGATGCTAAAATTCTTCAAATATCTCCACCAAAAATATTGAGAAATCTACCCTATGGCACAGGTAGAACAAGCTCATCCAGAATTCATTTCATCCTATAGTCCAGTGTCTCGCAAAAACTAAAACTTCCAGCATTTTAAATAACTTCAAACTTAGTTCCATGTATCGTCAAGTCAGAGGTTCTATATTTGAAGTATGCAGGTCATGTTGCTCTTGATCTTGCTGTTGAAGAAATATTTGTTTAATTCTAATAAATACAATAATAATATTGTTAGTCTTATTGTAAGATAAGCTAGAATCAGTAAAATAATGAGAAAAAAAATCAAGATTTCTTCTTGATACTTACTTCTTCCATAATTTCTACTAGGGTCTTGAATCCAATTGAACCTAATACTTTGTCATTATTTTTATTTAGAAAGCTTTTAATTCTTTGTAATATTGGTTATTGATAGACTTGGAGTCGTTTCGTGACATGATTTCACTGTGTATGTCAGAAATGTGGGGATAGTAGTCTAGTATCATAACATACAAAGCATCTGCAAAGTCATAGGATAATGTCAAAGAGTAGGTGCAAATTATTCCGCTTAACTACAAAAGTCACATGATTGAGCACAGCAAAATATACACCAACCACTTAATTCGAAATTTGAAACGAATGATATGTTAAGTAAAAGTATATTTTATAGGTTGCTATATGTCTATTGCATTTCATAATAATAAGCTTATTCGAAAATTATTGTTCTTAAATCAAATAGTATATAGATAACAAGAATATACATAAAAAAATAAAATAGTTTTCGTTTCAATGTTCAAACCCAAGGTTTCGCGGTATCTTTCCGTCGCAACAGGGTTATATTTATTTAATAATTAATAAATAAAAACAGTATTCCAAAAGAAAAAAAAATTAAAATATATACAGTATATTGAAACATTCTTTATATAAAAATATTTGTATGTCTTATTTTAAAACTAAAACGTAATTATATTTAGGTTGTGTCTTCTTTTGTTGTTGAGAGTGTTAAAGGGGGTATTACATAGGAGACCTGCCTGTTATCTTGGTGCGTTGAAATGTCAAATTTGTGCCAAATCTTAAGTGTATTAGCAACATTTACAAGAATGAAAAACGGTGCGATAGAAATCAAAATATTTCCATCAAAATATATTTATAGTATTCTTTCTTGAGAAGTGTTCCAAATAATTTCGGCAATGAATAGTAAGCGACGTCGCATCAAGTCGTCGCGCCAAATATGATGTGTAATACCCGCTCATAAATTATACTGTTTTATAATATATTATATATTTATATTATATATTTATATTATATTATATATTTATATTATATTATATATTTATATTATATTATATATTTATATTATATTATTTATTTATATTTTATTATATTGTTTTTGTGTAATTATAAGTTATGTATTATGTATGTTATTTATTAAAATTTTAACATCTTAAAATCTTGAATTTGTTGTTTAGTTTTACTTTTTTAAACAATTTCCATTTCGCGTTCTATTCCAACAAACTTTAATTGTTCCATTGGACCATATCTATAGTCGAAGAAAAGTTCTTCGCCCGATTTTATAGCACGTTTAGCAAATATACCAATACGATGGTCACCAGTAACCATCATTACTTTTGCATAGCAATTTGGATTAATAGAGTGGTTCGCAAAACGAATTTTATTTCCTTTACGTGTTGCGTCCACTACGAAGTCAATGTTTAAATTAAACAAATATGAACACATGTATTTGTCATATACTTTGCCACGACGATCGGCTTCGTCTTGTGATATGATTTCTCCACAATATTCTGATATGAATTCATTCTTTTGTGCACCTTCCTTAAGAAAAATACCCCAACCTGCGACATCCGATGGAGCCATTAAAAGATGTTTATCTGTAAATGTATGTGTTGTAGATAAATAAATAACATACAATAGAGAAAGAAAAATCTACTTACGCAATCCACGTTGTATGCACACATTTTTACATGTGACTTTAGTAAGTTTGAATTGGTCAGCTCCACATGCCTGACACAAATCTGGATCACACTCTCGCACTGCCAAATAACACGGGCATTGTTTTGTGTTGCATTGTGCTTTACAACGACAACCGGGAAAACGATTCTGGCAGTCGCTGCTGCAATTGCAGAATTTTTCGCAAAAGTTCTGTGTCAATAGACAAGAACAATTCATGTCACATGGCCCAGAATGATCGCAGGGTGTGTAATTATACACATGAGCTGGATTTTCTTTTTTAAGTTGGTTTTTACGGCAATGTAATGACCATAATCGTTGTTTCTTTTTCTTTTTACGAAGTGGAGTATAATCTTGTCGCAATTCATCAATATTGAACTCGCTCGTTTCCTTTTGGGCAAATGCATATACCTAAAAACACATATAAATGAAATATTCAATATTCAATATTCAATATATTCTTAAGATTGCTTGTAAAAGAACAAACCTGTTGGCAAGTTTTTGTTAGTAACGTTTGTGCTATAGCGCAATAGTTTTTAAGAAATACTGTATGTAGAGTACGAAAAAGAGATTGATCACCGCCAGTCCATGTACAATTCGTATTTGAAGTGTCCATGATATCAGCTGTAATTAAAAATAAAATAGTTGAATAATATTATTTATACACTATTTATGTTGTTAGTTAGTCAGTTAGTTTCTTTATTAAAATTTTACAGTATTTATACTTATTCTAATCTAAACACTAACCTACCTGAATAGTACGTTCTCCTAGTATTTTTCATATAAAAATGCTAATTATGCATTTTAATTAATATTATTATGTAATAATTCGGGTTAAATGAAATTTCAATACAAGTTAATGCACTTTACGGATTTCATTTGTGCAAAACAAAAGAATCAAATTACTTTTCTTTTGTGCAAAATGCAGGTCTTTGCGCTTGACATGTACCGGTACACCGTATATCATCATATTACAATCATCAAATAATTATTTTGTTTGTGGATAACATAATTAACATGCAGATATACTACAGGATAAGATTGAATTATGGATCTGTAGGAATTTATTAGAAACTATCCTAAAGAATGGGAATAGTTTGGGCACAGAGAAATCGGAATCATGCCATTCGATATAGTTTTTATCGAAAGAATCAAGCATCTGCATAATATTCCAAAACTGAGAGAGAGAGAGAAAGAGACAGAGAGAAAGAGAGAGAGAGAAAAGCTATAACAACAATAATATTATATTAAAAGAGACATTTCACATTTGTAGGAATATTATTATGAATTTTTTTCGTAATCGTTACCATAATATATAGAAGCTATAGTAGCAATAGCAAATATAGTAAATTTTGCATAGGTGTAATAGAATTAATATAATACATTTTGGATTATACGAAATCAAAATTATGTCAGATCCATAACATTGCTTACCCATTATTGAGTTTATTTCTGCTGATACAGCACTATTAACAGCTACTCCATTATCTTTTCCGTTTTCTGTATTAAATTCCTTATTGCTAAATTGGCTATTGCTGTCATTGCTG